GACATATTCAGGATCAATGGGGGTCATGTCCCCCATTTCCCATTTTTCATCCAATTTCCGTCCTTCACAATTTTGTAACGCGAGTGAAATTCATGGAGCAATCGGATTATCGGTTGCATCATGCGGTGAAAGTACTAGTCTTTTTTACACGTTCGAGGGAGAGTCATTGTCTCTCAACATTTACGATGATTTTAGGGGGTTTCTATTTGTTTTTGGGGATTTCCAATTGTTTTTGAGAAAACGAAATTGCGTTTTTCAGGGGTTGGGGGCTTTTTGATATTTTTTGGACTTGAGGGACACATTGAGGACTTAATAGACATAAGTGTTAACCCAGGAACGACAGGCATACGAGGCGTATCCTATTTTTCATGGTTTCTGTGATTAAGTGAAAAAACGATGATTTTTCGAACGAAAGAGGTGGGATTCATGAGGCTGGTGATTAATCTGTTGATTATCTCGGTAATGAGTCTATCTAGGGCAAAATGTCATAAAAAATTTTTTATAGGGAATTAAATTTCTAATAAAAAAACGTTATGACATTTCGCTCCCAGACCAATCGCTACTGAGATAATTACTTCATTAAAATTTGCTTAAAACTGGAATTTTGAGTCGAGAAATTTTTCCACTCGTTAATTCCTCAATTATCTCGGTAACAAGTGGCTCTACAGCAAATTGTGACAAAATCTTTTTCATAGAGAACTAAATTTCCAATAAAAATGTTTTATAACATTTTGCTCTAAAATCATTTGTTACTGAGATATTCACATCATTAACATTTGCTTAAAACTGGAATTTTGAGTTGAGGAATTTTTCCACTCGTTAATTCCTCAATTATCTCACTAATGAGTCGATTCTGAAAAAAAATGTCACAGGACTTTTTTGTACGAAATTCAATTTTCTACAAAAAAGTTCTGACATTTTGTGCTAAAATGCATCGTTATCGCGATAATCAACTGCTGAATAAACGAGATAAATTAATTGTCGGTTTTTGTCCCTTCAACACATCTTTTCTCCGACTTGTTTAACGTTTTAAAAATTAGTTGGGCAGTTGAAAATGTATCTCATGACAAAAATGAAATCCCAAGCTCATTTTTTCGTTAAAAAATCCCTTCATCCACTCAATCACAAAAATAGAAAATGTATGAATCGAAGTTACCATTTTTACCTACGTTAATAAGCTGTATTAAATCCTCTTAATTTACCCCCAAAAATGATACATTTCCTTTTTTGTAAACTGATTCTTACCTTGAAGAATGATCAGCCGCTCTGCCGTCCCGAATAATTTTCCAAATCCCCTGAAACCCAGAAAAAAAAACGAATTCGATTAATTTTCAATTTTCCTTTTTTAACGATTACTAGTAAAATGGAGAACGAGTAAAAGGCTGACTTCTGAGAGCTTCTTAAACTCTATATAATAACGAATATGTACGAAACCCGAGACACACTAGGAAAAATCATGTAAAAAGTTTTCACAATGCGAAATCCAGTGATGAGCAGTATTAAGGAAAATAATGGAATGATGAGTTTTTTTTCGTCTTCAGACACATCTGCTTGTACGTTCGCTAGTTTTTCTTTCTATCGCCTGTACATAGGGTGAAAGTGACAGTGAGGAAGAGGTTTTTCGTATTACCGATACAATTTTATTCGTCCCAAGTCAAAAAAAAAAGATTGAAATTGAAGAAAAAAAATTTTGTCTCCTCTTTTCACTTTTTTTTACTGACGAATTTGCATTTTTCTCCATGAAGGAGGCGTTTTTCGAGGAAATATCATCAGTCATTTTTTGTGGAAAATTAAATTCTCCACAAAAAAGGTACTTAGAGATTTTGTGCTAGAGTCATTAATTACCGAGGTAATGGCATAATTAGACAAATTGGTCAGTTTAGTGTATGAAATTTTCGTAAAAACAAACTTTTCTTCAACTTCAATGATTAATTGTTTAAACAATCCCAGGCAGAGCGGAGCAACTGAACAATGCCGAACTGTTGCGTGAGTGTGAGAGAGCGCCCCCGTATTTTTATGGAATAAATAAGAATATTTTAAATGAAGATAAAAAATCCAGAAAAGCAAAAAAAAATACACGTAAATCTTGAAGTCTGGTTGGAGATGCCTTTAATAGGGATTATAAAATGCAGATAATATATTATACATAATGAACAAAATACAGTATATTATTATACATTAATAGTAAGGAAGTAAATAGAATTATTATATATATGACGGAAATCTGATTAAATAAACGAAAATGATAAATACTCCGATTTTAATCATTTCTCATCGGCAAACGACTGAATCCATTAGTTTAAACCTTTATTTGCACGTTTGTTGTTTTCTTTCCATTGTGTCTACATAGGGTGGAAATGATAATGAGGGAGAGATTTATTAAATAATTGAAACACTTTTATTCGTTCCGAGTTGAAAAAAATATTGAAATTGAAGAAAAAAAATGTTTTCACTTTTTTTTACTGACAAATTTGAATTTTTCTACATGAAGGAAGCGGTTTTCGAGGAAATATCATAAAAAAATTTTCGTAGACAATTGAATTCTCTATTAAAAAGGTGAAGTGACATTTTGAGCTAAAGGCATTAATTACCGAGATAATCGCATAGTTAGAAAAAAAAAAGTTGACCTCAATGGATCAAATTTTTCATAACCGCATTTTTGCGTCTCAAAAATTTGAAAAATCATTAATAATTAATAGTGATTTCTGTCGCCTGTACGTAGGGTGAAGATAATAACAAGGAAGAGGTTTTTCATGTTAATGAAACAATATTATTCGTTCCAAGTCCAAGAGAAAGATTATTGAAATTGAAGAAAAAAATGTTTTTTCCTCTTTTCACTTTTTTACTGATAAATTTGCATTTTTCTCCATGAAGGAAGTAGTTTTCGAGGAAATGTGCCTAATTATTTTTTATGGAAAATTGAATTCTCTACAAAAAAGGTGGAGACACATTTTGAGCTAGTCATTAATGTCCGAGATAATCGCATCATTAGAAAAATTGTTGAGCTCAGTCCCTTAAATTTGTCATAACCGCAGTTTCTCGTCTCAAATGTAGATGAGAAAATGTAGAATCGAAGTAGAATCATTAATAAAAAATAGTTCTAGGTACTGACCTCATGAATTGGCTGATTCCTGAACAGTAGATCTTCCGAACATGCTCGAAACCATGCATTTTGGTTTTTGGGAGAGGTTAGGTCCATCACAAATGGAATATTCAGTCATCACAACAAAATAATGAGATTCTGTTTCAATGATCAAGATCAACAATATTCATTGATTATTAATTATCACTATTGTTGAAGTAATTTCACTGGGGAATCCCGGCAAACATTTATCGAGTCTTGGTCACAGTCGTCAGAGGCGTCAGAGTCGGCCATCTCGGCGCATGTGCAGACACAATGAACAAGATGGCGACCGAGGGCTCTTGGGGTCATAAAAGCAAAATGTCCGTCATTTTTAGGGGAGGGGGTCGTTTGTATACAATCTTAGATGGAAACATTCCGTTTTTGACTAGAGATGCAAAATGACCGTCATTTTTTAGATCGCGTCATATGACCAAAAAATGACGGTCATGTGACGCACAAATTTTCCAACTACAAATGATTATCACAAATCATTTGTAACCGAATTGTTGTCAAACCATCTATATAGTTGCATAATGACAATCGTAACTAATTTCCAATTTGTGACGGTCATGAAGAAAACAAAATAATTTCATCTATATGGATGGAAAAAAATCGTGATTTCCATTTCAAAATGCGGATTAGGCCAATACAAAAGGAATTCAACTGAAAATTGACCGAGAAAAAAATAAAGTTTCATCTATATAGATGAAAAATGACTGTCATTTTTTTCTTGACAAGTTGTGACGGTCACTGAAGGGGGATGGGGAATTGTGACAGCCGTCATGAACGCCTCGTCATGTGACGGTCAATGACGGTCACATGACCGTCATATGACAGGTCATGTGACGCATTTGCATCTCTATTTTGGACACGTTCTAGGGAAAATAGCGACAGTGCGAAAGGCCGTGGAACTGATGGGCACGAAAATTTGTGGACACTAGGGATGAGCGATATTTGTCGATTAATCGAATACATCGATTTCTCATGCCCAAACATCGATGTTTTCAACGGCCGATTAATCAATTTTCAATTCTCTTTTCAAACATCGATTTTTCTGACCGACTTAATGAAATTTTTCATTTTTTTATCGAATAATAATGTTGACTGATTGAGAATAAATAAAATAATAATTTATCCGCAATGAGGAGTAATTGATTTCTACAGTTTTCTATTGTTTTTTAATTTAATTTTTAAATTGTTTTTCAACTTAAATTTTTAACAATTAGTGCAGCTAACGTCAAGCCACGGAAAAGATTCAATATATTTTTTTCAATTAATCAAAAACTCTGTTTCGAGATTCGCAATTTAACTCTCCACCCAGTAGTTATCACTGAAACGTAAGTTCCTCGGCTGTTTTCTTTAAATTTATATTTTTCAATAAAAAAGAGAAGAAAAAAGATTATTAAAAAAAAATTTTTTTTCTTGCGTAATGAGAAAAACATCAATTTTTTGAGTAATCGATGTTTTTGAAAAACATCGATTCTTCGATGATCAATGTTAAAAAAAAAAAACAAAAGAAAAAAAATTTTAAAAACAATTTTTCTTTGTGTAATGAGCAAAACATCAATTTTTTTAATAATCGATGTTTTTTTTCAGAAAAATCGATTGACAACATCGATGTTTTTGAAAAACATCGATTCTTCGATAATCAATGTTTTAAAAAAAACCAAAAGAAAAAAAATTATTTAAAAAACAATTTTTTTTGTGTAATGAGAAAAACATCAATTTTTCATAATCGATGTTTTTTCCAGAAAAATCGATTGACAACATCGATGTTTTTTAAAAACATCGCCCATCCCTAGTTCCGCCGCCTTCCGTACTGTCGCCATTTTCAAAGTTGTTCAAACGACGAGCGAGCAACACCAATCAGCTGTTCAGTTTGCGAGCCGGGCCTCGATCCCTGAGTGTATCACTGATATCTCAATTAAAAATTGTGATAACATTACCAGGACGTTGATCGCCACAATGAAGCCCCTCAATTAATCGAACCCTCGCTATTTTCTCTTCTAAACCACATTATCAATGATCAAATATCCAGTCCCAGCCGCTTCAAATCATCAGACTCACCTCTTCCACCCTCTTAATTACCTGAAATCTCACTGACAACACCAATTAACAATCAAACCTCAACAATTAAATCGAGAACTCCTCAATTAGTCCCAACACTTCAACAATTCCCTCTGTCAAACGACAAAAAACAAATGAATTCAATTCTAACCTAAAAGTCCTCTGGAAATCCCAACAACAAATACCTCAACAATGCTCCGGATCTCCAGCAGATCGCTCAGCAAACCCCACAATCCCCTCAAGTTGAGCCGAAATTTCCACAAAATTCAATCTGAGCAGAAGACAATTAAAATCCCAAAATGCTCGAAGACGATCAGAAGGGAATTCTTGGATTACTTTCTGGACCTGGACCACAAGATCATCCCCTCGAGTCGAGTGGCCCCGATATTCGATCCCTCGGTGGCCTTCACCAACGCCGGAATGAACCAGTTCAAGAGGATCTTCCTGGAGGAGTTGGAACCCCCACATTCCAGGGTTGTCAATCACCAGAAGTGTGTGAGAGTCGGGGGAAAGCACAACGACTTGAAGGCCGTGGGGATGGACAACTACCATCACACCTTCTTCGAGATGCTGGGGAACTGGTCCTTCGGGGATTACGGGAGGAGGGAGGCCTGTGCTTATGCCTGGGGATTGCTCACAGGTAAAGTTTTTATTCACATTGAAGCAATTTATTTATGGATGTTCTACACCCTTTTAGCCAAAATTGACGTTGTTTTAATTTTTCTGGCAAATTATCGATGGGAATGACGTGAAAAAATATAACGTTTTTGGGTTTTGTCATTATTTGTCATTTTCCTGCGTTTTCTCTAAACTTTTAAAAAGAATCACAAAACTGTAGAAAAAACGCATGAAAATTATCGCACCACTACGCAACTTCGTGAGCCATTAAAGAATGACAAACCACAAAATCGTTATATTTTTTCACGTCACTCCCATCGATAATTTGCCAGAAAAATGAAAACAACGTCAATTTTGGCTAAAAGGGTGTCGAACATCCTTAAGGGGAGACCGCGGTGAAATTTGAAAGTCTCGGCTCGGCCTTAAGAGCTATTGGACGACTTTTGATACATGAAGGGATATATAAAAAAGTGAGAAAAATTTCGGACCCAAACCGTTTTGTCCCCTATATCCACCAAAAACGTCGTTTTTCACGTTTTTAGATTAGAAATGCCCCTTGTACCACAGTTTTCATCCGATTTCAACTTTTTTTTTTAATGTTCGCTATACTCCAACGAAGAAACCCAAGTATCCGTTTTGCTTTATATTTATCAGATCATGAGAAAATGATTTTTTTAGTTCCTATATTTTTTCCTCTTTTTAGCAAATGCTAAAATTAGTTGGTTTTCGTCATTCCCGAGTTCCCGAATTCCCGAGTTCTTATTCCATCCTGAAATTCACCGAAACTCAGCACAATTTTAACACTTGTCAATAGTCAAAATGAACTTGTACCGTTTTACCACTTCGCTTCTGAATTTTTATTTGACTCTCAATCGTAGGTCCATTTGGAATACCTAAGGAGCGTCTGTACGTCACGTACTTCTCGGGAGATTCGAGCCTCAACCTGCCCCCAGACCTTGAGACCAAGGAAACCTGGCTGTCCCTCGGTCTCCAGCCCTCTCACGTCCTCCCATCAGGCCTCCAGGACAACTTCTGGGAGATGTCGCTCACCGGCCCCTGTGGTCCCTGCACAGAAATCCACGTAAACACGTCTCACAACTTGTCAGCATCCCCACCGAACCCATCAGACCTCAAGGAACTCTGGAACCTCGTCTTCATCGAGCATCAACGCCTCCAGGACTCGTCCATCCAACCGTTGAGGATCCGTCACGTGGACACAGGTGCTAAATTATTTATTCGATAGCTTAATTACTTTGATAATTAGCAATTCGATAATTAATATTTTTTTAGGAATTTACATTTAATCGTGAAGGCCCGCGTGTACTATCTTTCGAATGTTATCTGGATTTTTTCATCTTTCGTAATCGAGAATTGTCAATTGCATGGTACATCATGTAGAAATTTCCTAAAATTATGATAGAATGATAAAAAACAGAAAAAATTCTGAACTTTTTCAAAGAGCGTTTTTAATTGAGATTTAGAATGAGTTGAAAAAAGTGGAAATTACAAATATATGATTCGCTGTGACAAATTATCTATTAGCTGTCATTTTCCATGGTGGATAACAAAACACTAACTCCTCATGGGAAGTGACAGCTAGGTATCTCAATTTTCAAAACAGTGGTATTTAGTCATCTGCCATTTTTATGTGATAAAAGTGTGATTAAAAAATTCTCCAAAATATTACAACTTTTTTCAAAGAGCCTTTTCCGTAATAAATGTCTCTGTGCAGTGTGGGAAAAGATTTACGAAATCAGTCTTCCCCCTGCATGATATTGGGTGACAGGCCGCCATTTGTCACGGTAATCAGATACATTTTTCAATTTCTTGTTATTCAACTCATTCTGAATATAAATTAAAACTGCTCTTTGAAAAAATTAATAATTTTTTCTACTTTTTTTTTATTATTCATTCATAATTTTTCAAAACTTCTGCATGATGCAGGGCATAATTGACAATTTCAGATGACGAAAGATGAAAAAAACATCGAGACAACGTTCGAAAAATAGTATACCCGGGCCTTACCTAATAATTTTGCTTCCAAATGGGAGCCTTGTGATCGGTCATTTTTACGAGCTGCCAATTTTGCTTGGAAATTATGTAGAATGTCATGAAACGTGAAGATATGATGTTTTTAGAAAATGTGTGGATGTTTGTCTGTGTGTGCAGATTTTTCGGAAATTTTGTATAAACCTCAACAAAAAGACAAGTAAAGTTGCAGCTATAAATCTGAAATTTTGTCAAATAAGTTCAAATGAACCCCATAAAATTTTGGCTACTAATCAGTATTATCGGGTCTCACTTCTGTACAAAATTTTCAGTACATCATGGCATAGAGCCATACTATATTATTTACAAGATCTATGCGCGCGCCCTCGCGCGCGCTGATCTATTCATTTGTTGAAATGAAGAAATGGAATTCATTGAATTTCATTTTCTCATGAATACCTCATAAATATTGATAATGAATCAAGGAGAATTCGACTAATGATTGAAGTGAATAGCGAAGTAGAGTAAAAAATCTATAAATAGTTTTTTATTTTCAATTAATTATCTTCAATTTTTTTAAACAATCGGTCTCCATAAAAGGGCAGAATTTATTAATTTCATCGATGATATATGCACATGTGAAATATATATTATATATATATGATGTGAGAAAAAAATTTACCACTGAAGAATTTGAAATTATGTCACTGAAGAATTTGAAAATGCCGCGTGTTTTTTTTGTGAATAACTTCGTGTCACATATTGACCAATCAGAATTAATTAAGGATTAGCGGGCAGGCAGTTTCGAGATATTTCGATATAAAACAACTTCACGTTTCTTTCGCCTTTAGTAAAAACAAGATCTATGCGCGCGCTCTCGCGCGCGCTGATCTATTCATTTGTTGAAATGAAGAAATGGAATTAATTGAATTTCATTTTCTCATGAATACCTCATAAATATTGATAATGAATCAAAGAGAATTCGACTAATGATTGAAGTGAATAGCGAAGTAGAGTAAAA